AAAAGTTGGTCGACGTGCGCAGACTGCCGGGACGGGCGGGACGAGAGGACGGGACGAGACGCGAGGGAGAGATGAAGAGATTGGCGCGATGGATGGGGACTCAGAGGAGACAATGGGAGGGAGGGATGAATGGAGAGCGGAGTGGGAAGGGATAGTAGGGTGCGTTGGATTGGTGGGTGGTTGGGGGTGGGGAAGAAGAGAGGCGATGATCTCTTGCATTTCTTTTCCTGATCAACTATAAGGTAAGATGGGGGTTAAGCGATGCTAAATGGTGTCTGAACATTTGGGGTTATGTCATCGTGGAGTGGGCGTAGCGGAGAGAATTGAATAGAAATGCGAGCAGTGTGTTTCAGAATAGGGAGGAAGTGGATGTGGTAAAGAGGTGGAGTGAAGCGAGGTGAAACGGTATTGCGTAAGGTGATGCAAAGAGGGGTGAGATGGAGTGATGTGAGGTGATGTGAGGTAATATACATAATGTGAGATTGATTGAATTTTTTTGTTTTCATGTACGTCAGCTACTGTCATTAGTCCGGTTTGTGTAGTGCATGTTATACCCAGGAAGGATGGACTAGTTCTTCCTCCATTGAAATGTACGATCTGGCGCCGACGTACATGACCTACTCAAGGGTGCCCCTCCAGATTATTTCCCCTGGCGGGAAACTGTCCAGCCAGGACAAGATCTAAGCTCCCGAATGGTCTCGCGAAATGTGTGGTAATGTATTTGTGTGTGTGTGTGTGTGTGTGTGTGTGTGTGTGTGTAAGGAGAAAGGAGACAAACATCCAATGTCGGGGTGAGGTAAGGCTGTGGTGTAGGTGAGGTGAATTAACGTGGAGTGGAGTGGTGTGTCAAGGTGGGTAAGGGTATTTCACGCGGTGGGGGCGGTGCTAGGCTGGCGAAGTCGATGCGAGGCAGAAAGGGCTTGGGCGGTGCTGGGCGGAGCGGGGCGGAGCGGAGCGTGGCGGGGCGGGCGGAGCGGAGCGTGGTGGGCGGAGCGGAAGCGTGGGTGGGAGGAGCGGAGCGTTTGGCGGGGCGGAGCGGAGCGATGGCGGGGCGGAGCGAGTGGCGGGACAAGCGTGGCGAGGCGGGAGCGTGGCGAAGCGCGAGCGTGGCGGGAGGAACGTGGTGGGAGGAGGTAGTGGTTCGAGGCGGAGCCTGGCGGAGCGCAGCGTGGCGGGGAGGAGTCGTGGCGGGGCGGAGCGTGGCGGGCCGGAGGTGTGGCGGGCCGCGGAGAGGGGCGGGCGGAGGCGGGCTGAGAACCGGGCAAGGGCACGCCCGGAGCGGAGCGGGCAGGGCGGGGGAAGCGGGGCGGGCCGGGCGAGGCTGGTGGGCTTGGCGGATGCGAAGGAGGAGCGGAGCGAGGCTGGGCGCAGCGGTGTGGGGCAAGGCAGGGCGAGGGCGGAGCCCGGAAAGCAACTGGAGGAGGGAGGGGAAAAGCGCGCCTCTCCTCTCTGTAACAGATCTTCAACGGGGAGTAATTTTGCAAGTGAATTAAACATTCCCTTCCTTTGGCTAAACACAATTTCCTCTGATATTGAGAATGACGTCGGTTGCGATATTGCACGGCTCTCCGGCGCTCTGCCTGAGGCACCCCGCCCCGCGCTCCGCGCCCCGCGCCGCCGCCTCCGCGAGGCGGCGTCAGAAACAGGGCCGAAGCGGCAGATTAGCTGCGGACGGAGCGCGTGGCGCGGAGCAGGGGAACGGGAGAGGAAAGAGAAGACCTGCCCGCAGCCCCCTCGCTCTCACCACTCGCAGAATTGAGCGTATGAGCTTTCGCAAGCATTTGTATGGAATCAACGCACGGATTAAAGACGCATACTCATCACATTCGATCAGAAGGTATTCATTCAATCAACGAATTATTTGCAATATTAACAATTTTATGATTTTGTTGAAAAAGGCAGAGAGTAATAGAAAATGTCTACAACTACCTCTTGTAAGCAATATGAATTCACATTTTAAGGGGAAATGTAGTGCCTAAATGTTTTTGCCTAAGTATCATAATCTATTGAAGTTATGCTTATGAAATTTTTACAGTTTGAAGATGTCACATGTAATAACACTGAAACAAGGTTTTTGAAAAATGTTTTCTATTTTTGTAGATACAAATATTTTCTCATAATGCCATTTTGTTCACCACGTTTTCTAGTAATAATCCGTAGAATGGATAATACCAAGTTAATTAGAAAAAAAATGTTTTAGTAAATACAGAAGATCTTTAGTGACACATGAGAATTTCAGTTTCCTACTACAAATATAAGCTGATAAAAGGAAAATTTAGTATCAAAAACATCAACTTTGGGATAATGGGATTTAAAGATGCAACCCTCCGAGCACGCCAGATCGGTAATTTGCCTCATCCGAATAATAATTTTAAAATATCTACTGTCTTTTGGGGCGTCACAACATAAAGGTTTTAGTTTACCTTTTGCGAGTCTACGTCTTTTACTACTTATGCGCTCCATTATGTAACAATATCTAAAAGCATTGGAATCACCACTCAAACACAATGAAAGGATGACTTCACAGATAATTCATAAAAAATACTTTTAAGAATGATATCAACATATTTCAAATGCCAATTTAAAGAGAAAATTATGGAAATTTAATATAAAAATAAGGATGGGAAAGTAAAATAGCAACAAATTATTTTTAAACGCAAAACTATTCCATTTTCCCTTAAATAAGACGATGTCGTCTGTCTTTATAAATCTTCTATACTACACTTCTATATTATCAAATACTATATGAAAATTATGAATCTAAATTAAAAATAATTTTCTCATGAATCTCACAGAAATGAGTATAAGCGGCGTTTAGATGGAAATAATGGTGCATGGCCCTTGGGGCGAATCGATATTATTGGAATTTAATGAAGGTGGATGACTCTCTACATTCCATGTGGATATACGAAGAGACAACCACTAGCAAGGCTAACTTAATTTTTTTTATGACTTAAGCAGCTCGTTACGAGCAACAGCAACGCAATGCTTTTTTGTAACATAACCATAATAAACCATGAAATGTAAATGTTACGTTCGCCCAAATGTCTTTAATCAATGTATTTCGAATACATAGTACAATAATATACTTCATTTTGTTTTGGGAATATAGGTTAATTATGATTACGTAGGCATCCGCGGCCGGAACTTCTATTTTCTAGACTATCCAGAATGAGCCTCGTCTCTTCCTTGGTGGACGTTTCGGCCAACAAGTTGTGTCCTTCCTCACAATAAAAAATATTGAGAATTATTCTTCTTTCAAGTCCACATTGAATATTTCCGGATCGATCTCGTTCGGTTTGAAGCCCTGCAAATTTGGAAAGAATTCTCTAATTTTTTAGATTTATTACATATGAAGCCCGTGGAAGACTTTCAAATTTTTTACTTTCTCGCTTCACTTCTTAAGAAGAGGAAGTATTTTAATCGTGCACCAGAAATCGAGGATTTTTCAATAAATAAACTTGTTGACTAGGGGGTTGACTAGGTTGACTTGGGTCCTAGGAAGAAAAAGGTGAATAAATCTTATTCCTATACGAAGTAAGTTACTACCTCTAATACAGTGTGTAGTCATAATCCATACTTTTTGGGCCAGTGACTCCCAAAAGTCGGCAAAACGTGTTTGTCTCTCAATCTGTCTGTGGTCAACACTAGCGCCTAAAACAGTCAGACAAATTTCTCCAAAACTGAATTTTTCCCATCGATCTAAACGAAATTCAGGACCTGTAATTTTGAAACGGGCATATGGATTTTTGTGGGTACTTCACATGAAACCTTAAAAGTTTAAATCTCTTTGTAGGTATAGCAGTAAATGTAAACTAAATAATGGTTAAGAAAAAAAACGTATTATTTTGTTATGTAAAAGATTACACAAATATTTTTAATATCTCTCACATCGTTTATATTATTAACATTACGGGCTTTGTTTTTATACCTTTTTCATTTGTGAAACTTCAAATAATTTCCTCCAAAGTTTCTCGAAAACTCAAAAGTTTTTTGTGAAGATGATTCTCAAAATTGTGCATTTTCTGAAAACTATATTTTTCAAAAACGTTTTCTTTTCTCTCAATGAAAATTTGCATATGTAAAAATGTTTTATTCTTCTGTAATGTTCTTATGTCAAATCTTTTCTACAGTTACCAGACGAAAATTTTGAGGAAATGTGGGAAAATGTGTTTTACGCGCCTATAGCCGGCAATTGGAAATGGGTGGGACCAAATCCAAAAAACTTGTTCAAACTCGAGAATGAAACTAACTAGATAAGATAACCCTTACGATGTCTGTCGTTCTATACCGTCTCTAGTCTAGCACAATGTCAATGCTGCCATATCTAATACACTTATCATTTATTTCATGAGCAAAGGTGCGTCACTGTCTTAAAAACAAATAGAATGTGCGACTGAATGGGCGTATTTGAGTCACTTGATTATCAACCAAAGGGATAAAACCAAATCAACACATCAATAATAATATTGTAAAATAAATTATCCATACGATATGAGACATGATGCACAAGCTCATACGCCAATACACACATCACGAATTTAGCTTACTGCAACTCAAAACTATTCACACATCGCCTATCTGAGCTGTGAAGAGAAACCACCGCTATCCCATATGTACAATTTGTTGGGAAATTTTGATTATGTAATAATTATAAACAAGGCATAAAGATACAAACAATTTCTTTTCAGAATCCCCATTTAAATATTGAAAAAATCTGGTTTTAAAACATTTTTTAAAAAAGTTATAAACCACATGCCCATCTATAAAAGAGAATGTTTCGAAAGAAAACTTTACACCAAACAGGATTGCAATTTCGAAATAATTACTTTTAACTACAAAATTTAATACTTTCAAAAATATCTCTAGAGGGTAATTTACATGTAATTTTAAAAAACTTCCATAACATATTGAAAGTTTCTTCAGGAGATTTGTAGAGCATTTTGCCTGAAAAATTACTTGAAAGAAATCCATTTTTAATTATTTATGGTATGTTTCAGATACTGTTCAATACGCTATGATTCATGACATGGCTGTACCAGATGAAAGTAACGAGGATGCAAGGGTAAGCATTGAACTACTGTTATGTTTACGATGGATAATTGAAACTGCATACGTTTTTGCAAACTGCGTGATTTATCGTATTAAAATATTAACTAACAACCCACACTAGGGATGCAACATCTTTGTCGATGTTTACAAAATATCCATGTTTTTATGAAATCATGTATTTATCATCCATATTTAAAGCCGGCATTTTTTAATATCGATGTTGTGTGTTCGATGTTTTTACGTGGTTGATATTTCTTAAATAAAAAAGGAACAGCATAACAAAATTCTATAACATTTTCAAATATCCATAAGTTGAATACTCGTCAGTCTTAAGTGTCCAAGGGGGAAAAATAAATAAAAATGGATTTTTGTCAATAAAGAGTCGTATATTATTTTTGAAATACCTCAAATGATAATCAAATTTTTGTTAATTATCCTCATATTCTTTGACTTTGTTTTGTAGGATAAATCATTGTTATCATTTAAACACTGATGTTTTAATTTTGAGCATCTAAGTTTAGAAAAATTGATGTTTTGTTCTCGGTGTTACTTTCCTAATTGCTACCTGTTTCATGTTCAATATGAACGTTAGGTGCTTCAGAGCAATTAAATATTCGACAACTTTTTTGTATTATGTGCGATGTGATATAAACTTATTAACAGTAACAGTATATATTTCAAGTATGAAAATACACTAAAAATATAAATAAACTCACTAGTTCTCAAAGTACTTTTCTTATGTGCTTTCTGAATATAATTTGTCTTCGTTTATTCGTTTTTCTTCGAAAAATAATATTTTTCTTCGTTTCAGTGCTTTGTGGTGTGCGTGATGCAGAATATGGGACTGGTAAGATTAATTTTTCAAATAAATCTGATATTCTTATTTCGATAAGCTTCGTCAACGACACATCTACGTACGTAGATGAATGATAACTACAAAGATTATTCAAAGTACGCCTACAGGTATCATATCCCCCTAGTTATCCCGCATCTGAGGGCAAAACTAGAGAAATTAATAGTTGCTTAACATACAGGTCATACAGAATAAATTCGCGAGCAATCACTCAAGGTTCCCTGGTTCATCACAAACAAACAACTTCGTAAAGAAATTCAAATAAAACCTATCATGCATCTCATCACTAAGTTATCCCATAATTTTTACAATAATATGTCATCAATTACACAAGTATCTCAATACAATCTAGACTAAGTACCCATAAATATCACCAAATAAAATATAGTTTTCCCAAACATGTTTTATTTACAGTGTGCAAATTTGGATGATTCTTTGTGAGTTTTCAGTAGGTTTTCTCTCTCCCTAAGAAATAATTGTAAAGAAATACATAGTTTAGTTTTTTAAATAGATAGTAAGCATCAAGACATGTGAAAAAGTTGTACTGTTAACTGAACCATGTATCACATTGAAAATAGAACAATATTTAAAAAAGAAAAGGATAGGGCAGGTACTGTTATTTCATGTTCTTCATCCGGCAGGTACAATCCGACGGCTCCATGGACGTGGACAAAGCGTACCTCAGCCTGTCAGACTACCAGAACCACTTGCGTTCGGAAGGGAAGATGCTGAGCGAGTCTGACGCTAAGGCGGTACTGCGATCTTGCGCTTCGGAAAGTAAGACACGCCTCGGATACGCATGTCAATTTTTTCACTGTGCCACTGATTAATTATTGGTTTCCTCGAAAATTCATTATAATCGCTACCTTGTTTTTTGAGGCAACTATTATTTATCTTAAGTGTACGTTGTATTTATCATAAAATGCTACAAACGTGAACCCGTCAGCCAATTGTTCACTTCTGAGAAATTAACCAAATTTTGAAGTTGTAGTAAAAACAGATGTATGACATTGCAAGTGCATTTTAAGTAAAATGTGTTAAAAAGAGATCATTTTTCTAAAACAAAAGTAACTAAAACCTATTACCATAAAGTTGCGAGAAACGCACTCTACAGGTACAATTTTGCTCTTGTTTTTCAGGTGGAAGCGGCAAATGTGAGAAGACTTATCGCATCATTAAATGCTCTCTGTCAGGTCTAGGAACGGTTAGTACTTTTTGGTGAATGATAGTTTGATTTATTTCCTTTGCAAATTTTTACTATTCAAATCCACTTTTCTAAGTGATATTGAATTTTTATAATTATATTTTTTTATTTTTTCAGAAAGTTAAGTCGGCGTAAAAGTTACATTGACTGAGGAAAAGGACTGATTTTAATTCTCAAGAACAACATAAGACTCAAAAATCGATGTAAAGTATCTGTAAATGACTAATTGTACAGAAAATAAATTACTGAACTTTAAAATCAAAGTTTTCCCTATGCTAACAGCAAAAAATATGAAGCAACTGTAACGTACGCAAGGTTTGTACATACCTGTTTGAACCGAACGCAAATGCAACTTCCAAATTGTCTAGTAATGATTTAATTCAAATTATCAAGCAAAGATTATATATGGTGGAAAAACCCCACTCGAAGTCGCATTTGCAAAATCAACACGCATCACTACCGAAAATTCAACATGCTGTATTAGCCAGTTCATTAACAAGTTTTCGTTTTATACGAACATATCAGTAATGTAAGGGGATTTTTGTAGAGGATGTTAAAAGTGTGATATTCTCACGCCTTACTGTTTCCTTACAAATAAATTTTCATTATGATGTACCTAAAATTTATTTTTTTATTTATAGTTATATGCGACGTATTGAAATGGGATTTTATTTACTCTTGTTACTAAACATATTAGTAAAAGGATATTTGGGAATATCTCTATATAATATGTTTTTTGGGATGCGGTCTGAAGGCGTCACTTAATGTGTTACTAGATAATATTAAACTCAATGTAATATTGCAAAAGAGACATTTTCTTCACCAAAGAACAATCCTGTGATAATCATATTAATTTAATAACAATCTCCACTTACTGTGACGTGATACTGTTGTAATCCAACATTGATGGGCAAGGCTAACACCAAAAGATTCGCAACTGTTGAAAAGACTTCATCACTACATACAAATAAGTTATCAATTGGCGTGATAAAATAAAAAGTGTAATCTTGTTTATACAAAGAAATAAACAAATTTTTACCTACAAAATATTTGTTCAACTCATCAAAAGTTAACAATTTCTTAAACAAATCAAACCAAAAACCGTCACTGTCAGATTCTAGACGTATTAGAAAGACTGAATTTATACTAACAGATGATTTTCCACTGCCACTGTCAAACATAATATACAAATCAATTGAACGAACGCCATTGCCAGCCCCAAATACATTAACGTGACAAATTTACATAAATACCTGATTCTCTAGAGCCACCGACCCACAATCCATTAACAAAACAATCGCCCCTGCGGAACTCCAATACTTCCTCCCGGACCACGTGTTTCCGACCCAATTTCCACGCGTCGCCCGGCCGCACGTCACTCGCGCGGGCCGCGATCCGACGGAAGCCGAAACGTATTCAAGGGACAGCGGCGTCGACAGGGCCGCGGTCGCGGCTCGTAATGAGGGCGGGCGGGGAGGCAGGCCTGCATGTTGCACGGCGGCATGCGCGAATACGCCGCGGCCGGCGCGGATCAAACTTTCAAGCTAAACACGCGGCGCGGGGCCGATGTCAAATTGCATGCGGACCCGCCCACCCCAAACCGCAGGCCCGCGCTCGCGCCATGCCGAGCCGATGGGGACGCCCGCCCGCCCAGCCCTGAGAGCGCGCGGGCCCAGCCACGGCCCCACGCGGTTGGGAAATGACCGCCGTCGCAGCGTGATCGACGCGCATGTTTTTATCAACTCTGCTACCCATGTTGAGGAAATTCGATCGACCCACCCTATACCTAGAGCCCTTAGCGTCGCCATGCGAGCCAGTAAATGGACGCCCACAGTTTAATAGTTAATAGCGTCGCCAGCCTACCCTCCACGACGTGATTAAATGGCGTCGGTCAATTCGAGCGGATTATTTATCAGAATCTGCTACAGTTGTGAGGAAATTTCTCGATCAATATATTTACTAGAGGCAACTTAGGTGAATCGCCATTTACAAAGGAAGTAAATACTACAGTTTAACATAGTTTAAATAGTCGCCAGTTACTCCCAGATACGTATTAAATGCTGCTCGGTCAATTGCGTTGAGCGGATATTTTATCAACTCTGCCTACATGTGGAGAAATCTCGATCAATATATTTACTAGAGGCACACTTAGGTAAACGCATTTACAAGGAAGTTAAATACTTACAGTCATTAAATTAGTTTAAATGGTCCAGTTACTCCCAGATAGCGTATTATAGCTGCTCCGAGGTCAAATTGGTGAGAGCATATTTTATCAACTCTGCCTACATTGTGAGGAAATCTCGGATTCCCAAGATATTTAACTAGAGGCAACACTTAGGTAAACGCATTTAACAAGGAATAAAATACTGACATTTAAATATGTTTAAATAGTCCCAGTACTCCGCAACCGTATTAAATGCTGCTCGTGTCAATGTGTGAGCGATATTTTTCACTTCTGTGTACATGTGAGGAAATCTCGATTCAAAGATTATTTACTGAGGCACGTTGAGTAAACGCATTTACAAGGAAGTAAAGATACTACATTTATAATAGTTTTAAATAGCCCCAGTTAGTCACAGACACCGTATGTAATGCTGCTCTCATATTGCGTGAGCGGAGTATTTATCAACTCTGCTAATGTGAGGAAATCTCGATCAATATATTTACTAGAGGCACACTTTAGGTAAACGCATTTACAAGGAAGTTAACTAGGAATTACGCAGTTTAAACTAGTCACAAGTGATCCTAGATACCATATTAAATGCTACCCGGTAGCGCTTATCAACTGTGCATTAGGAATCTCGCAGTTTACGCACACTGTATTTACAAGATACAAGCTGCAGTGTATAGCGTTTCTTGGTACTATCTGTGTCGAATGTGGCGGATTAATGAAAATAATTCTCATGAGTATAAGGGCACTTTAGGTGATTAGCAATTTTCACTAAGAATTAGATAAGATAGGCAATTAGGTTACACCCTTTACAAGAGGTTTAACTAGAATACTGCAGTTTAAAAGTCACAGTGTTTCAGATAACCGTATTAAATGCTGCTCGGTCCAATTGGTGAGCGGTATTTCTATCAACTCTACTTACATATGAGGATTATCTCACGATGAAGGTATCACAAGAGGAGGCCACCACTTAGGTCGATTTCTTGAACGCAAATTTTATCAACTCTGCTGCATGTGAGGAAATCTCGATCAAGATATTTACTAGAGGCACACATAGGTTAACCCATTTACAAGGAAGTTAACTAAAATCCTGCAGTTTAAATAGTCGTAGTGATCCCAGATACCATATTAAATGCTGCTCGGTCAATTGGTGAGCGTATATTTAATCAACTTTGCTACATATGAGGATATCTCGATGCAGGTATTCACAAGAGGAGGCACACTTACGTCAATTCCTGATCGCAAATTTTATCAACATATGAGGAAATCTAGATGAAGATATTTACTAGAAGCACGCCTAAGTTAACGCGTTTACAAGGAAGGTAACAAAAATACTGCAGTTTAAATAGTCCTAATGTTCCCAGGTGCCTCGTTAAAAGGTGCTCGGTCAATTGGTGAGCGAAAATTTAATTAACACATGAGGATGTCTGGATGAAAGTATTTACTAGAGGCATACTTAGATTAACCCAATTACAAGGAAGTTAACTAAAATATCGCAGTTTAAATAGTTCCAGTGCTCCCAGATACCGTATTAAATGCTGCTCGGTCAATTGGTGAGCGCATATTTTATCAACTCTGATACATATACGCAAATTTTATCAACATAAGAGGAAATCTAGATGAAGATATTTACTAGAGGCACACTTAGGTTAACCCATTTACAAAGAAGTTAACTAAAATACTGCAGTTTAACCCAGTACTCCCAGATACCGTATTAAATGCTGCGCGATCAATTTCTGAGCGCATATTTTATCAACTTTGCTACATATGAGGATATCTCGATGAAGGTATTTACTAGAGACACACTTCCGTTAACGCATTTACAAGGAAGTTAACATGAGTACTGAAGTTTAAATAACCAGAGTATCTCAGATCACTTGTTAAATGTAGCGCGGTCAGTCCCTGTGGGCAAATTTTATGAGCCCTGACACATAAGATATCTCGTGAATATATTGACGAGAGTCACACTTACGGCAACTCGTTTACAAGGAAATTAGCATTAACTTTCTTGTAAACGTAAAAATTACCTTGTGTAAAAGTGTTGCCTTCACTTTTTAAATGCCACCTGTTATTCGAGTGGCGCAATATTTATCAGCTCGGCCACGTATGAGGTTATGGCATTAAAAATCAGAGATACTCTCATGTTGAAACGTCCACAAGACGTTAACATTAACACTTCGTTTAAATCATTCGGAGTGTTTCCTGTTTACTAGTTAAATGACGTGCGGTCAATTGTTGGGCAGGAAATGTTTCAACTCGATTGCTGGTATATCTATTATTACATTGGCATGTTCCAAATGAAGTGAACATGGACACTTCATGGCAAGTTCACTTGTTAAGTGATGCACGCATTCAATCTGTAGATGGAAAGGTTTACAACTCCGCCTGAAAAGCTTACATCATAGATAACATAGTGACCGTAGTTTCTATTACATAAATACATTCGCAAGGCTTTTGAAGGACGTTAACTTTTTTTAATTTGTCACGTTATTTACTGACATTTATGCATGTAACAACATCATATTCACAAGGATGTGAACGTGAAATCGCCTGATGCGTCTTTTGGACGTCATGTGTTTTGCTAACTTTTAAAAATACGTTTATGGAAAATTAAAACTCAAATGTCTCTTTCTCACAATCTTAAGTCAGATGCCCTCCAAATTTTAATTGATTTTTGAAAAATTAGTCTATACTTCATTAGCTGACAGAACTTTTAAAAGTATTATTCCATGCAATGGATCTTTAAACTTTTTGCTTTACTTGAATTGTGTTATGGAGATATTGAGCTGCATGTTCAGACTATGAGAAAAACAATTATTTATATATTATTTTCATTTACAGACAGACAAATACGGGGTAATGTTTTGTGATATGGAACACAATTTAATAAAAAAGTTCTCCACAAAGAATTATTTTATTTTACAAGTCCTTTCCAATAACAATTATTTGTACAGATACTCAAGAATGCTGTGTTGAAGTATCAATTCAAGGTACTCAAGGGGGAGTGTAGTAGTCAAGTGAATACTTGACTCCAGGTCTGCCCTCCCCCTGTTCATCATTTCTCCTTCACACTGTTGAGAT